ATAATAATAATAAAAAGATAGCGCGGATCACGTGCTTCTGCCTTTTTCCTCCCCTTCCCACCCGGCTGCGGCCCCGGCCCCACCAGGCCGCCCCGCCCTGCAGCGCCCGTCTCTGGGCCGCCCGGGAGCACCACGCATGCCCTGGGAAGGGGGCACCCGAGCAGCACCACGGGGCACCGGCTGCACTTGCTGGCAGCAGGGCTGAGGCCCTGCCAGAAGGTGAGAGGCAAAGATTCAGAAGAAATGGAGCGATCCAGCCCAGGGCTGCTGAAAAGACCAGGCGAGCTCCAGAGAGGCCTGGGGGAGCCCCTGCTGCTTTCCTGGCAGCATTCCCTCGCTCGCTCTCTTTCCAAGAAGGGAGGAGGAAGACAACGGCTCACTCTGGAGCATCTCTGCCCACTCCAGAGCATCTCTGCCCACTCCAGAGCATCCCTGGCGATTGCAGCATCCAGGATTTGCCCCAAGCAAGAGCAGCTGCTCCCAGGCTGCAAGTGGGGAATTTCCCTGGCTGAGGTGGGGTCAGGCGCACTTGCTCGGTGTCTCCATTCCCACAGCACCTTCCGTTGCTGGTTCCCTAATTCGTCACGTGTGCTCCTCTGTGGCTTGGAGAGGGGGCAGGGAAGGGTGGTGAGCTGAACAACAGAAGGGATGTGGAGATAACCCTGCCTTCTCCTCCGCTATCAGCCTGGGGAAATCTAAAACCCAGGGAAGACCCATGCCCTAAGTTTTTTAACACCCTCCAAGCCAGGAGACGGGGCAGGATCTTTCTGTCCTCTCTGCAGAAGAGGAAACCGCGGCACGGTAAGGCAGCGAGCTGTCAGGCACGATAGCAGAAGCAGGGATCCACGACTTGGTCTTCCAGCACCTCCTATGCTCTGTCTTCAGCCCCGATGCCAGACTCCCAGCAGGACAGCATGGGAACGGAGCGCCAGGCTGGGATTCCCCCAGCCTTGGCCTTGAGCACTGGAAAGGTTCTGCAAGCGGGGAACCCCCTGCGCTCCTGCTTGCCTTCTGCTGTGCGAGGGAGGGAGCGGGACCCGAGGGAGCGGGTGGGGTGGGGAAGCCCCTGCAGCCCTCACGTGCCCGGGGTAATGCTCAGCCTCCGATGCTGCGGGGGCGCAGGGCGGGTTAGATCACATGAGACCTCGGGTGCCTGCAGCAAAACCAAACGTTTATTAGAGTGCGTGTTAGCTCTCCTCACCCCACACTTATTCCGATGGCGTTTGCGGGTGCCAGAGGATGCTCCATCCACTGTACGGTGTGAAAAGGAGTCCTCGCCTGCTCCTTCCCTGGGTAGGCTGGAGACCCCCACGACTCAGAGCCATGGCAGGGAGGGGAAATTCAGTCCTGCTGCAGGGCACGAACAGTAAAAGAAAAGCCTCCTCTGTGTAGTGTTCATAGTGCCGCCTTGTTCCCTCCGAGAAGGCAGCCTGAGGCCAACAAAACTTTTCCAACGCGGGAAGGGGGGAATAACGTCTCCCAGAGTGGCTCTGCTCCCACTGAACTGCAGGCAGGCAAGGTCCCAGCGGGCAGCAGGGCGACAGCGCGGAACGAGGAGGCAGCCCGACGGGCCAAAGGAGTCCAGCCGCTCATTCAGAGCACACAACAGGCTTCCCCGAGATCTTCAGGTCATCAAAGGGCAGCAAGGCAAGGAGCTGCAAAGGCCAAGGATGCGGAGGTGTAAGGATCCAGGGTCGTGTCTCCACTGGGGCTGGGGTAGGGGTCCAGAACTGCCCCCCCCAGCCCTGCAGCCTCCCACCTCCCCGGGGAAGTGGCAAGAAACCCTGGCTAGGCTTTCCCTAGGGCTCGAGGCAACAGGCAGTCACCCCACACACCCCCAGATCCAATGCCTGCACCCTATAGGGGAGGACAGGCATGGCTAGAAACTCCTCCTAGGAGGTCCCCAAAAATTATCTGACTCCTGCACCCCCGACACGCTTGCAGAGCCACAGCCCCCCCAGACTCACGTCATCGTTGCCATCGGCCAGGTCCTGGGCTGTCTCATTCTCCATGTTCCTCAGCAGGGTGTCAGCCCCGGAGTGTGAGAGGATGGCGGCGATGGCAGCATCCTTGCGGCCCACGGCCAGGTGGAGCGGGGTGCACCCGTTGTACATCTGGGCGTCCACGTACGCCCCTTTGTGCAGCAGGAACTGGACAGCACTGCGGTCATGGCACTCCACGGCCAGGTGCAGTGGTGTCTTCCCACTCGTGCCCTCCTGCAACCCACAGACCACAAAGGTGTGGGTGCGGGGTCCCCTCAGATGGACCCCGCAGCACCCACCCGCACCCCCTTGACAGGGTGCAGAGGGGGCAGTCCCCACCCTGACTGCTGTCATGGCACCCAACAGCCCCTCGAGGACCTTTTCTCCCTGCTCCCTCCAAATTCAGCACCTCCAAGCCCCACAGCAGTGCCTGCCCTCAGGCCGGAGGGAGTGCCCAAGGGATCCACGCACCGTGCCCAGCCTTACCCAAGCATCGCACCGTGCCCAGCCTTACCTGAACATCGATGTTGGCGCCGCTCTCCAGCAGCAGAGACATCATCGGGATGTTCCCCTTCAAGGTGCTGATGTGCAGACAGGCCAAGCCTGGGACGGGGAGGCAGGAGAGAGAGTCACAGTCAGCCCGGAGCACCCTGAGGCACGCCAACCCCAGCCCCACGCCCGCTTTGCTGCACTCCCAGATCCCTGCATACACAACACGCGGTCTCTGCCCCAGCCCAGCCATGGACTCCGCACCGGGCTGCCCCCAGGTCTCACCTTGCCAGTTCTGGAGCTGCAGGTCCTGCTGGTGCCCGTGGGGCTGGGCTGTGCCCTCCGTCGGGGCTGTGCCCTGCAGCAGCTGCTGGGCGCACCGCAGGTGCTGCTGCTCGCAGGCCAGGTGCAGTGGGGTGTTTCCGTTGCGGTCCTGCAGCCCGGGGTTGACTCCCTTGTGGATCAGCGCCTGGATCACGCTGGGCTGCTCCAGGTACACGGCGAGGTGGAGCGGGGTCTAGAGAGGAGGTGGAGACAGAAATTAGGAAAGGGGGCGATGCCCCGCAGGACACAAACGTGATGAGCCACGCCAGCCTACAGGAGCCAGCCCCGTGGCACAGGCGGGCTGCTGTGGGCCCATCCCTATCCCAGGGTTAAGCGTGGCTGACACTGGGGGGTGCAAACGGCTTGCTGCCCCCCCGCACCTCAGCTCAAGGATCACCCATGGGGGCAGATGTCACTCTCCCAAGTTATCTACCCTGCCACATTCAAGCTGTGCCTGCTCCACCCTCTGGGGCTGTCTGCGACATCCTGGGGCCTCATAAAGGAACCCCTCACCCTTCGGTGCTGGGAACTCTCAGGGCATCTCCCACACTCTTCTTCCCCTCCCTGAGAAGGGGCTGCTCACATGGGACCTTCACACGCTCTGGGGGAAGTGGCTGGGGAGCCCTGGGGAAAGGGCAGACGGATCGGGCATCTATCCAGGGAGCAGCCTGCGGCATCTGCCTTCCTCCCATCTTCTGCCTACCACACCCGCATACCTGGAAAAGATCATTTTGGATCTCCAGCACCTCCCTGGGCAGCTGAGCGATGCAGCAGAGTGCCACAGCTGGGACGCAGTGGATAATGGCCAGGTGAACCAACCTACAGAGGGGATAAAGGGAATGAGGGAGGAAAAAAAAAAAAAAAAAAAAAAAAAAGAGTCCCAAGTGCCACGCTTAGGAGCAGAGATCCACTGCTGCGTGGAGGAATAACCTCCCCACCTCCCCCAGTTCCCTTCCCTTCCTACCAGCTCGGAGCTCTTCCATCCTGCCCTCAGCAGAAGGGCAAGGCAGGAACATGGCCTGAGGCTCCCCAGGGCAGTCCTTCACTCTGATCTCCACAGGGAACAGACCCTCCTGTCCCCGCAAAGCACCGCAGGGTCCTCCCTCGGACCGCACAGCATGCGTAGGGCTTGGACCTGGCACTGCCCAAAGCCAGGCCTCCAACTGGGGCAGGTCTGAAGAGCCTGGGATGCATTTTGCAGAGCCCAAGGGCCGGGTTTGGTGGCTGCGGAGGGAGGTCTGGGCTCTGGCAGCTGCCCGGGGAATTCCAGTTCCCCGCTGCTGGCTGCGCATCACACTTCTTCTTTCCCCTCCGTGAAGGCAGGCAGCCAAAGCCGGGCAGGAGCACGGCACCGGTCCAAGATCACCTGCGCGGCACAGTCCCCGTGCCAGCCGATCTGCTGGCCCACACCGATTTCCTCTTCTCTCCCCCACATCCTTCCCTTTCAGCACTGCCATGGCAGGGCTGGCACGCAGCCCACCGGCACAAAGGGACACTGGAGGTGTGGCTGTCAGAGCTCGGTGGACAGCAGGGAGCCCACATCCTCAGGACTGTGGTCTCCGTGGCCATGGGGTGGCTGGGCAGCCCGGAGTCCCCCAGCCCAAGGAGAGGTTTTATTTCCAGCCAGGTCTGATGCCGGCCCCTGGCTCAGTCAGAACAGAAGTGAGAACACGACGGAGGCAGAGCCAAGAGAGAATTTCCAGTCCCCTTCGCCGACCTGCTGGGCTCCTGGGCCCCCCTGCACAGAGGGACCAGCCTCTGCCGCAGGGCAGCCCCCCCGGGCGAGCCCCGGCCATGGCGGGCAGCAGCGAGGAGCAGGCAGGAGCTCCTGCTCTGCAGAGCATGGCAAGCATGAGCTGAGCCTCCTGCTAACTCCTCGCTGCCTGTGGTGGGGCCCCCAGGTGGCTTTTATCTCCGGCAGGGATCAGCTCCGAACCAAAGGCTGGGCTTTAAGCAGGCTCCTGCCACCCACGCTGCTTGGTGGAGGTGGGCAGGGACGAGGGATGGAGGGCGAGAGCTCTGCCAGCCCCAGAAAGACAATCCCGGCTTCGGGATGCCACCGGCAAAGTGGGGGATGGACAGCATCCCTCCGCAGGTGGGAAGGCAAGACCTGGCCCTAAAGCACTGCAGCAAAGAAGCGTGGCCGGGGCTGACTTCTTGCCAGCTGCAGGGGGGACATGGGTGCGCTGAGGAGCGCAGAGGGCAGTCCCGAAAATGTCCTTTATCCTCCTCCTGCCAAGCATTGCCCAAGGGTCGAGCTAGCACCCCGGATCCCAGGCAGCCTCTGCAGAGGCCCACTTTTGGTGGCAAAAGAAGGCCAGTCCCTTTTCGCCCTGCTGCCAGGGGAGAGGCTGACAGGAGAGGCTGCATCCCCGGGGAAGCCCCAGGTCACACCACGGCAGGGAATTCCCTACTGGAAGGAGACGCCACCCACATTTGCCTCCGCACTGCCATGGGGTACCCCCTCGCTGCTGGCGCTCCCCGGAGCAGGGGAGGGGGCTATGAGCCAGGGCCGAGCGGCCCCACGGGCAGGGTCCGGCTGCCCTCAGTGGACCACGGGGCAGGGGCACAGCCAAGGGGCCCCGGCCAGGCTAGCTGGGGGCAGGAGTGAGGGGCAGAGCTGGGGGATCAGCTGCAAGAATATCCCTCCCCTCAGCGGGCTCTCGCTGGCCCCAGCCCGGGTATGATCCAGGCAGGGAGATTCCCTGCTGGGTTTTGCATCAGGCCCCCGGTCCCCATGGTGGCACCTGCACTGAGGTGCCCTTTGCCTGCTTGCAGGGACAGCCCCTGTTTCTCCAAACCCACTCCCAGGCGCCACGTGCAGAAGGAGGCTGCGGGATCTGCCTTTTTCAGGTATAGCAGAGATAAGACTGCTCAGACAAGGGACTTTCCAAGGCAGTTCAGCTTGAACTTTAAACCTCTGCTGCTTTCACTTTCTAGAGCCCATGCTGGGCTCCCGGGGGAGAGAGCAGCGCCCGGGGTCGCACTCCCCTGCAGCCAGCCCCCGCGCCCCCAGGAATCCCCCTGACCCCTCTGCCACGACCTTGGTGGCTTGGGTGGCTTTGCAGCTCAACAAGGTGGTGGACCATTCAGGGCTCAGCTGATGCTGAGCAAGTTTGGGCATCCATGCTATGGTGATGGGGGTGACCATCCCCATCCAGCAAGAGCTCAGGCTTTCACCTTGATGCTGGTACATGCCTGCTTTGAAGGATTGCTTTCCCCCCCTCCCTATTCCTTCTCCACCCAGGCGCAGCCTCCTCTTGCGCTTTCATTTCTGCATTCGTTCCCCCCTTTCCCCATTGCCAGCCCTCCACTTCCCGACATGGCTGCAAGAGCCGTGAGCTACTCGGGGGAATCATGGCGAGGCTGCCGGGCTGGGATGAGCCCCCGAAGAGCACGTGCGCACCGAGGCGCTCTGTGCCACGGGCAGTGATGCCAACCAGGAATCAGGATTGTCTCCTGCTAACCCGGGAAACCTCCTACACCCAGGAGACCTGAGGCGCTGGCATCGTGCCAATCTCCGCTTTCTTTCAGCCAAGGCTACAAGCACACCTCTCTCTCTGCCATGGCAGCTGTACGGTCCAGCTGCTGACGGGCTGCTGCACGCTGGCACGCAGCGCTCACAGCTGAGCCCCAGTGCCAGGGCACGGCGACGGAGAGATACCCGCTTGCTGCCAGACACCCCTCCTCACCCAGGCATGGCCCCGTGCCTTTGCCAGAACAAGCCCTCCACCCCGCCACACTTGGTCCCTTGCCCTTCCCTCAGCTGCCTGCACACCTCTCCTCTGCCTTCCCCCGCTTCTCTGCTCCCTCCCTCCCCATGCTCCTGCCTGCAGCACTCCTGCCTGCAGACACAGGGGACTTTTGGAAAGCGCAACAGGGAGTTTTGGAAAGGGCAGGGGATGGAGGAGCTGTGGGCAGGGGAAACGCGGCCAACCGAGTAGGACAGACTGCCGGGCTCGTTCTCAGCTTCTCCACTTACTCACCAGCTCCATCCTGGCACAAGGGGACTCGTTAGCGCTCTGAATCGCAAAGGTCCCATGGGCACAGGGCATCCCTGACACAAGGCGATCTACCTACCACCAGAGAGATAACGATCCCGAGCAGAGGGATCAGGGCCATCCCTGGGGATGTCCCTGGGTCTGAACATGCAGCACTGCCGTGCCCAAGGTGGTCCTAGTTTAGGCAGAGAAGAACACCCGTTTCCACAGTGCTGTCCATCTCCCAGGCTTCTGAGCGAACTCAAGCGCCTGGTAGGAAAAGTGTCCTTGTCTGAGGATGCCTGCAACTGGAGGCAAGGAGTAAGGGTAAGGGTGACACCCAGCTCCAACACACAAGCAGAACTGATGAAGTCCCACCAGTTCTCCGGCTATCCTCTTCCCTCACTCTAGAAAAGGGGCTGACCATGCAGATCCCCCCATCTGTGGAGCAAGACACCTTGTCCTCAAAGCAGCCCCTCCCTTCACCATCTCACCCCAGAAGCACCTAGGACAAGGGATTCAGCATTTAGAAGAAATTGCTTTGACAAATTTTTCTTCCTCTCAAGATAAGGTCCCTGTCTGTAGCAGGAACAGTTTGCTCCTGGCTCCTTGTTTTGGCTGAGTGGAGCAGTAGGAAATCATGCAAACAACTTGCACAAGAGAGACTTGTTCAGGGGAGGAAATGGCCCCAGCAGCAACAGAGAGGAGAGCGAGGGAGGAGGAAAACAGCAGGGGAATTCCACGCTTACCCCGCTCTCCTGTTCCAGCCCCATAACCTGCGCTGCTAACCGCTTCCTCAGCCATCAGCACGAACCTCTGCCAGCAGGCTCAGCAAGCATAGTTGTGTCCTGCCCTGCAGCCCTCTGCCAGCCCAGCCCGGCTCCCTTCCTCCCTGCATACCGATGTGATGCTGCCCGGCTCCATAAAACTGTGCCAGCTGCCCTCTGGCAGCTCCAGGGGAGCAGCAGATCTCAGCTGGCTGTAGGCTCATCCCCTGGGTCTCCTGTCCTGCAGCTTTCTTCTCCCCTTCCTTGGACAAAGCCCCTTCAGCCATTGGGTTCAGCCCCCCTGATCGCCAGCCTGGGCAGCAGCTGCTTCCCAGCCTGCTGCTCCCGGGGCCAAAGGGAGGGGTGGGAAGCGATGGGTGAGCAGGAGATACAGCCTCCACCTTTCCTGTGGTGCTCTGCAGAGGGGCTGATCCGGGTGCTGGCGGATGAGGGGTGCTGGAGGCTGACTGGCAGGGGAGGCATTGCCAGAGGACCGCGGGCGCCTCGTTTTCCAGTGAAGTGGGGGAGGAAGAGGAAGAGGTGGGGAGATGAAGATGCCCCTGTTCACCCATGTACTGCACCCTTGGCCTTACATCCTCTAGACTCTGCACCCACATGTTTGAGCATTTTGCTCTGTTTCTGAGCAGGTGGTGGGTCCTGGATTGCAGAAACACTAAGCATCAGATGCACACGGACTGCCCTCTGAAAAAACGGGGGGCCTGTCCTGCACTACCATCACTGCAGGGATGAGCCAAGCCAGAAAGCAGGTCAGCCCGCCCCAGGCAGATGGAGCTGGTTTCACAGACATGGGCCAAGAAGCGAGATGAATGATTGCAATAAAAGCAGCAAACATCCTGAAAGGTCCATCGGCCATGGCAACTCCATTTCAAATGGAGCAAATTCCCGTTCTTGCTCATCAGGAGGAAAATACGATCTACAGTTTCCGTATACACAGATATCTTTAGGTCAGAACAGCCTCTTGCAAGAGGACAGTGCCTGGACTTTGCCAGAGCCAGTACAACACACCCTAACAATCATTTACAGCCCTGCACACATATCCTCGCTGCCTCAG